AGTCGTAGTGAACACTGGCAGAAAGAGATACGACGTGATACTTTGACCAAGCAGAACTTACTGCAGTAAAAGTATGTTACGGCAGTTTCAGACGCCGGGATGCCTTGGTTCGCACACAAGCACACAGCCTGAACAGAACGAAAGTCCGGGCGTCGCTCGCACATGCAGCATTGCACTGCACACACATGTCATGTGCCGTTGTCGAAGTGGACTCCGGTGCACAAGGAAATTTATCATAGATTGGCAATGTACAGTCGATCGCAGCTTGTTCACACTGCGACGATCACGCCATCAGCTCGGTCCAGACGACGTTGTAAGTAGAAGTCTACAGTCTACAGTGTAAACCAGCCAAGCAATGATATCGTTGAGCTCAAGCCTTCACCGGTACAGCAAGGCCTGCTGGCACACACCGCGCGCAGCTGTCTCCGGTGAGCGCCTGGGATCTGCGTCACTTGCGGCTTGCGCAACGGCGGTCAACGCTTGCACTAGTGCTGCCGGTGTAGTTGTGCCCACCAATGAACAAGGCGTCTGCAGCGTCCTCTTCAGGTGCGGCCTTTCTCAAACAATCGTACAGGGCCACCCGCAACACTCAACTTGCGGAAGAGCGAGAGAGTCAGCAAGCCACACCCCTGTGTGCCAGCAGAGCCTGCAGCTGGTGACACCTGTACCCCGAGAGCTGGAGGTGTCAACACAAGCTCTTCCTCTGCTGGCAATGGCAAGACATCGCAAAGCCGCAGCACCAGTGGTGGCAGCAGAGAGGGTGGCATCGCCCACGCTAGCGGCCGCGGCAACGGCAGCAGAGGACAGAGCAGAGGCAGAGGCCGAGGCCAACGCAGCGGCAGGGGCGAAAGCAGCAGACCCTTGTCCAGCGGCCTCAGCCCCCATTCAAGCAGCCCTGACAGCAACGACAACAACGGCAAGGACAATCGCAACCCCATAGGGCGTGGCGGAGGTCGCAGCAGCAGAAGCCAGGGCCCCCGCCGCGCTAGCGGCAGGGGGCGCGACACGAGGCGGCTGACCAGCTGGATCAAGCGCTCCTCAACACTGCAGGAGCTTGAGCGCTTGGAGTAGAAGCATGGCGACAGCTTTGACTGCATCCACATTGCAGCAGCATTCAGCAGGGTAGGGCACATCATCAGCACAGGCACGCCGCCCGCCCGCTTTCACCCGCTGCTGCGGCGGCTGTGGGCACGGCTGCAGCCACGATTCGACGCATGCGGGCATCAGGCCCTGGCCAACATCATGTGGGCATGTGGCAAGGCGGAGTATGCAGACCCACTGCTGCTTGACGTCTGCCTGGACCGGCTGGTGGGCAATCTTGCGGAGGCAGCGGCGCAGCATTTGTCAATGACTTTGTACGCCACAGCGCTGCTGTGGAACGATGGCAGGCAAAAAATTAGTGAGCAGCAGGTGCAGAGGCTGGCCGAGAAGTTGGTGCAGCAGCGGCAGGCAGCAACGCCGCAGGCCCTGTCCAACACGCTGTGGGCAGTGGCCAGCATGGGGCTGCCGCTGTCAACCTTGGACTGGCAGAGGCTTTTGGAGGCACTGGTTGCTAACGCAGAGACCTCGCAGGATTTCTCCAACACGCTGTGGGCAGCAGCCAAGCGTAAAGCAGACTTTGCAGCGGCGTGGCGCTCTGCAACGCAGTTAACCAGGGTTGAGGTGGCTCTGCTGCAGCTGGCAGACGCCGCCGTCGGCCTTCGGTTCGTGGAAGGCATGGCACCGCAGGCCATCAGCTACAGCTTGTGGGCGCTGTCAGAGTTGAGCATGCGCCCCAATGAGCTGGTTGGCCCGCTGATTAGGGCCGCGCTGCAGCGGGTGGCAGATATGGCTCCACAGGAGGTTAGCAGCACGGCATTGGCGGCAGCCAGGCTGGGCATCTTTGAAGCGCCGCTGTTTGTGGCGCTTGTGGCTGCTGCTCAGGAGCAGGGATCCACCCCAAGCGCCCAAGACATCTGCAACCTGTGCTGGGCTGTAGCGGTAGCGGACCAGCAGCAACTGGCGCAGCAGGTCGTGTCACTGAGCGAGCAGCTGGCAGGAAGTTGCTTGTGGGAAGCAGGGTCCATGGAGGCCCACCGCAACCAGCTCTGGCAGGTCCATCTGTGGCTGCTGGATTGCCAGCCAGGCAGCGTCGGGCTGGCAGGCACATTATCGCTGCAGCAGCTGCAGCAGTGCGCGGATTCGTGGGAGCAGATGTTGCAACAGGCGGCCCAGCAGCGCAGGACAGTGATCGAGCAGGGCGTGTTTGCGTGCGCACAGCGCCTGCCATGCCTGGCCGCCTGCTGCCAGGAGGTGCGCACAAAAGACGGCGCCTACAGCGTGGATGTCACCGCGACACACACGGCCAGCGGGCGGCGGCTGGCCATCGAGGCGGACGGCCCGACCCACTTTCTGCTGCCAGACGGGCAGCTGACGGGCGAGACGCTGGCGCGCAACAGGGCGCTGGCGGCGCGTGGCTTCGTGGTGGTGTCTGTGCCCTGGTGGGAATGGAACAGGATGCGTAGGGACGCAGCTCGGCAGACGGCGCACCTGCGGCAACAGGTTGAGGCAGCATTGCAGCGGCTGGGGCCTGGCAGACCGCCTGGAGCAGGGCCTGCAGCGGCCACCTGAGATCTTGATTGACTGACTGGCTACCTACAAGCCTTGGTTGCAGACCCAGCAACTGCTGAGTAAGGTTGGTGATAGGTTGTTTGTCATGAAATGGGATTACCTTTTCTCTCCCATCCACCACCAGGCAGCACATGTGGGGGCTGCGGCTGTTGGTGTCCACCTCGCGAGGCCCCTAACTCCCGTGCAGCAGCTCGACCCTGCGCCGCCGTCCATCAAGCCTCCCCCAACTGCTGGCCGACCACCCCTCTTTTCCAACTGCACAGCCCCTGATGGCCTTGTGGCAACCATTAGGAAGCTGCCCAGCGCGAGGAGGCGCAGCCGAAGACAACGTCAACGCGTGCAGCAAGGCCACAGACATGGACGATTCAGGGTGATGTCACACACGCCTGGAGCGGGCGCAGGCCTGCGACAAAGTCGTGCAGGCCACCCTGGGCGCGGCAGCTGTGGCGCAGCTGCTGGGCCGCGGCCTCTGCCTTTCGGAGCCGTCGAAGCGGTTGCCAGGTGGCGGCCAGGCCCGCAGCCCCTCCATCAATCTCCTCGCTCCGGGCGGCCGGCGGCCGCAGACTCAAGCAAGGGTGGTTCGTACCTGGACGCGTCTCGACCTGCATGCGCACCAGCTGCTTACTTGAGGCCAATACATCTACTTGTGACGAGCTGGCAGCGGCGCCAGACCCTCCCCCCCCCCCGGGTGAGAGCTGACCTCCAGTGTGACCCAGGCGCATGGCGCTGGCGCGCGCGGTCCGCACACAATCAGCTTGCGACCGCGGGCTTTATGAGGGCACGCCTGGACCTGCAGCAGCTGCGGGCGCATCAAAGCGGGGCCTGAGTGACAGTACACCTGCCAGAGCGATGCGGCATACTATGTAACTGCCACGACACAACGTGCCCAGCTCAGAGCCTGCAAGCGATTGTGGCCCACTTTGACAAGGTTTCTATGCAATCCAAAACAGTCAAGAGAGTGACAAAGGATGCGGGAGCCACCGACTTGGGGGACAGCGGTGACTGAACGACGACTGGCAGCTCGTGCTTGGGCGCTCACACGACGCCGAGCATGCGCGCAAGGCCATGCCTGGACGTGTTGGCAGGCAGGCGCGCCAGGCATGGGGTGCGGCAGAGTGTCGCCCAAGGTGAGTCAGCCAGGGACGGGGCCCACCCTCTCACGCTGCCCATGGGGCCAGCAGTCCCGTCGCCCGCTGCGGTATCACTTCAGAACGCGGACGGATGGCGTTGCTGACAGCTGCAGTCAACGGCACCGCAAAACTTCTTAACGCTGGGCTGATTGCAGGCTGGTAGTTGTGGGTTTGGGGGATTCTGGTTCTGGATGTGCGGGCCAGGTGGGGAACCTTGAGGTCCTGCCCTGCTTGAACATCACTCGCTACAGTAATTAGTCCTGGCACCGCTCGCACCACGGCATCGTGCACACATGCGGTGCCATTTTGAGGGGGAACCTCTGTACACAAAACCATACTCTCTCAAAGATCGGCGGTATACATCGCAGCTAGCAAGCCATTTTGCCCAAAAGAAGCTGGCAGGAAGCAGGCAAACCATACAAGTGTACACACATACGCACGCACGCACACACACACTGACACCTCTGGTCGCAGAACGCCATTTCCCCGTTGGATGAACCGCTAGACCCGTAAAGATCGGCGATATACATCGCAGCCAGCGAGCCGTTGATCAGTTCACACCTCCGAAACCACGCATTGGTCCATGATACGAGACTGCGAGCAAAAGCACCGTGCACATACACGAGCCAGATGATGTATTTCCTTGAGCGTTTCCTGCGTTGTCAGCAACTGCTGGCACGATTCGCGCACAGCCTCCTTGAGTGAGCGCACACGATCTGTGTCGCCGCTTACACTGCTGGTGCGGTTGTGACAGCCATCCAAATGAGCCAGGCGCCTGCAGCGCTATATTCACGTGTGGTCTTCCTCAACTCAAAAAATCAACAGGGCCTCCTGGGACATTCGGCTTGCGGAGGGGTGGGCGCGTCAGTTCGCCGCAACCCAGGGAGCCAGCAGGCCCCGCAGCTGGTGGCCTGGCGCGCGCGAGCTGGAGGTGTCGACACAGCCTCTTCGCCTGCTGGGGAGTGTGAGGCATTTCTCAGTCACAGCAACAGTGGCGGCAGCAAAGAGGGGAGAGTTGCCTACGCCAGCAGCCGCAGCGACAACGCCAGAGGCCCAGGCAACAGCAGAGGCCAATGCAAAGATAGAGGCCAAGGCAAAACAAGACGCCAAGGCAGCGGCAGAGGCGGAAGCAGTACCCCTTTGCCCCGCGGCCGCTGCCCTCAGCCAAGCAGCCGCGATCGCAATGGCACCAGCGGCGCGGACAGCGGCAGGCCCGAAGGACGTGGCGCGGGTCACAGCCACATTACTGGCCTGGGGCACCGGACAGGCTGGCGGCAGTGGCCTTGACGCACCGCAGCTTACCAGGTGGATAAAGCAGTCCTCAACACTGCAGGAGCTTGAGCGCTTGGAGCAGCAGCACGGCGCCAGCTTCAACTACATCCACATCTCGACAGCATTCAGTAGGGCCGGACACATCATCGGCGCAGGCACGCAGGCGACCCGCTTTCACCCGCTGCTGCGGAGGCTGTGGGCGCGCCTGCAGCCACAGCTTGACGAATGCGGGGAGCAGGCGCTGGCTAACATTGTGTGGGCTTGTGGTAAGGCAGCGTATGCAGATCCGCCGCTGCTTGACGCCTGCCTGAACCGGCTGGTAGGCGAACGAGAAGTGGCGGCGCCACAGGGCTTGGCCAACGCTCTGTATGGCGCAGCGCTGTTGTGGGGCAATGGAATGTACAGGATTGATAAGCAGCAGGCGCAGCAGCTGGTGGCGGCCTTGGTGCAGCAGCGGCAGGGTGCAACATCACAGAACCTGTCCAATACGCTCTGGGCGGCCGCCGCCATGGGGCTGTTGCTGCCAGATCAGCAAGCGCAGCAGCTGGTGGCGGCGCCGGTGCAGCAGCGGCATGCAGCAACACCGCAGGGCCTGTCCAACACGCTGTGGGCGGCGGCCACCATGGGGCTGCAGCTGTCAAAGCAGCAGGCGCAGCAGCTGGTGGAGGCGTTGGTGCGGCAGCGGCAGGCAGCCAAGCCGCAGGGCGTGTCCAACACGCTGTGGGCGGCGGCCACCATGGGGCTGCCGCTGCAAGAGCAGCAGGCGCAGCAGCTGGTAGAGGCGTTGGTGCAGCAGCGGCAGAGTGCAACATCACAGAACCTGTCCAACACGCTGTGGGCGGTGGCCACCATGGGGCTGCCGCTACCAGAACAGCAGGCGCAGCAGCTGGTGGCGGCCTTGGTGCAGCAGCGGCATGCAGCAACACCGCAGGCCGTGTCCAACACGCTGTGGGCGGTGGCAACCATTGGGCTGCCCCTTGCGAATGTGGATTGGCATTCGCTTTTGGAGGCATTGGTGGCAAAGGCAGTGACCGCACAGAATTTTTCCAATACACTGTGGGCCGCGGCCAAGCGTAAAGCAGACTTTGCAGCTGCGCCGCGCACGACAATGCAGCAGACAAGGGTTGAGTTGGCGCTGCTGCAGCTGGCGGACGCCGCCGTCAGTCTGCAGCTTGTGGAGGGCATGACACCTCAGAACATCAGCAACAGCTTGTGGGCTCTGTCGGAGTTGGGCATGCGCCCTGACCAGCTGACGTCACTGCTGATGACAGCCGTGCTGCAGCGGGTAGCAGCCATGACTCCACAGGACATCAGCATCACAGCGCTGGCGGCAGCCAGGCTGGGCTACGTTGAAGCGCCGCTGTTTGAGGCGCTCATGGCCGCTGCTCAGCAGCGAAGGCAGGAGTCCGCTCAGGACGAACAAGCCATCTGCAACCTGTGTTGGGCTGTGGTGGTGGCGGACGAGCAGCAGCTGACGCAGCAGGTCGTGGCACTGAGCAAGCAGCTTGCAGCCAGTGGCTTATGGGAATCAGGATCCACGGGAGCCGGCCGCAGTCAGCTGTGGCAGGTGCATCTGTGGTTGCTGGACTGTAAGCCACGCAGCGGCGGGCTGGCAGGCACGTTGTCGGCGCAGCAGCTGCAGCAGTGCGCGGATGTGTGGGAGCTGATGTTGCAACAGACAGCTCAGCAGCGCAGGACAGTGTTTGAGCAGGGTGTGTTAGCAGCCGCGCAGCAGCTGCCAGGCCTGGCCGCCTGCTGTCAGGAGGCACGCACAGACGACGGCGCCTACAGCGTTGACGTCATTGCGATGCACACGGCCACCGGGCGGCGGCTGGCCATTGAGGCGGACGGTCCGCACCACTTTCTGCTGCCGGGCAGGCAGCCTACAGGCGACACGCTGGCGCGCGACAGGGCGCTGGCGGCGCGTGGCTACGTGGTGGTGTCTGTGCCCTGGTGGAAGTGGAACGCGATGCAGGCGGACGCGGCGCAGCACGCGGCGTACCTGCGGCACAAGGTGGCGGTGACGCTGCAAAAGCTGGGGGCCGGCAGACCGCCAGGGGCAGGGCCAGCAGCGGCTGCCTGACATCGTGTTTGCGTGGATAGCTATTTACAAGCCTGGGGTGCGGACCAAGCAGTTCTGGGTCGCAAAATAGAGATCGATGGTAACAGTGTGTTTGACCTGGGATAGCTTCACCTGCGTCATCCCTATCCACAAACAGGCAGCGCACCCTGGGGTTGGGGCCGTTGGTATTCAGTTGGTTCACTACAGTAGATTCATGGCCGATGAGGACGACAGGATGCACCGCTGGTCATGGGACTGCTGTTTGCCGCGCACCCCTTGATCCTTGATGCGTCCACACGTGCGGTCTTTTGTGTTGCCGTTCCCAATAAAGCAACTTTTGGCCTTGAGCAATCGAGTGCCTTCAGAGCAGTACAAACAGTGGTTCAGAGGCACGGCAGTCTGCACACGGTACAGCGGTGCACACTCGCAAGCGACTTTTGCAGCCTGCGACAAGAAAACGGCGCCTACGTCCCACGCGCCAGGCATGCCTGCACAGTGCTCCACATTTACAGGCAGCCCCTCCTCATCAAGGCTCCGCTCCATTTCAGCAGAAGGATCACATGCCGCAGCGGCGCTTGGCGCTCGCTGCAACATTAGTAGAAGCCTTGCCTGCAGGGGCGCCTGGCGAACAGGAGGAGGGAAAGCAGCGGCCCCAGCAGCCGCGGGCCTAGCGAGCGCACGACTGGGATGGGCCGGACGGTACGGCGCGCGTCGCCGAGGCAGCTGCCAAGCTTGTTTTTGTCGTGCACACCTTGTCGAAGTCCGCTTGAGCTTGCGCGGCTCGGCATCAAATCTTCAGCGGGGATAAACTGCCTGATCTTGCAAACGGGTGCTTTGAGCAACAGGATGCCGCCACCAGCTTCACCAACGCAGGGGTGAGGCGGGCGCAAAGGGTTGGGGCGGCCGCCAGCATCCCCACAACACTAGGGGACAGACTGAAGGGGAAGCCCGCGGAGCAAGCGCGTAAAATTACCGCCAGCGGCAGCCGCAGAGGGGCGCTGTGTCTTGCTCTGCGGACGGCTGCGCGCTCGAGCGCCCAGAGCAGAGCAGCAGGGGAGTGGGCTGAGAACAGCCCAAAAACGCCCAGTGTGTCCCAGGCAGCAGCAGCAGGAACTGGAAGAGCGGTGCACTTGGCGGACACGAGCCCAAATGAAAAGCAAGTGCCAGCAACAAATACTGGAATTGTGTGTACGCTGCTGCGCGTGCCTGCCCCCCTCGAGCTGGTCCTCCTGGGTTGTCAAACACAGCAGTGGCGGTGGCGTGAAACAAGGGGGCGTCGGTGCTGCAGGCGACGGTGTACTCAAAGAGCAGTGTCAACTCAAAGCGGCGCATGTCGGGGGCTGCGGCTCTCTGAAGTCCCAAGGGGCACAGGGCGGGGCCACCTGCGGGTGCGGCAGTGATCGGGTGGGCGCGGGACGCCTGCAATGCGAGTTGGGGAACGGCAATTAGCCTGAGTTCAAAGGGGTGCCGATGCTATGTAAGCCGCTCTCACGCAAATGATCTGATGGGCGCCAGCGCACCCGGGCGGCCACAGTTGCAAGCTGGCGCACGCAGGTGCTTGGTGGTTGAGTGGGTGTGCACGCATGCTTGCATGCACACGTGTGTGTTGTGTGTGTGCTGTTTGTGTGTACGTAGATGAGCGGGAAGGAGAGATGGCTGTGTGAAAATCAGTGTTGACCTAGGAGATCGCTCACGCAACAGCGACACAAGGCTGAGACTGAGAGTGTCGTGCGGCGGCAAAGTCGGCCTTGGGGTGGCGCCACTCAACACTATGCATAAAACAGTGCAGCATGCGCTGGGGCGCACAAGCATGACCAATCATGTGTGCGTGTGCATGTGAACAGGGTGCGAGCGCTGTGCTGCGGAGTTGCGCCTTGAGCGTGCCAGCCGGCGGTGGGGCCCTGCCTATCACGCTCTCAATTCAATTCCCTCAAGCGGCCCCACCGCCCTGGGGGCTAAATGGTGGTGCCCCAATGCCGCTTGCCAACTTTGGCCACTGAAGGGGACGCTTCAAAGCGCTGAGGGTTTTGAGGCGACGGGTTGGGGCGGGGGGCGTGGCCCTCTTGGCTCTTTGATAAGACAAAGAGAGGCGCTGGGCTGTCAAAAAATGAGCAGGGCGCCAGGCACAAAGGGACACGGTGAGCTTTAAGTCGTACAAACAACATCAAGCCACGCGGTCTCTGTGAATAGCAATGCCGCCGCAGGCTCGGCGTTGGTTTGCCGGCGAGCAAGCGCATGTGTCAGTGGTTGGCCGGCTTGGGAGCGCACCGGCCGTGACAACACAGTTCCATAGCCAGGCACTCCGCGACCGCCATTCGTGGTGGGCTGCCAGGGGCCAGGGGCCGCCCCGCTCCGACCGCGGCGGCCTGAGCTTCAGAATTCGAGTGGAAGGGAGGTGCAGCTTCCTCTCTCACTTGCACACCTCTCCTCTCTCGCTTTGCCGATGATGATGGGGTGATGCGGGCGGCACTCAAAGGAGCGGTGAAAGAAATCATATGGAAAGGAAAGCGATGGCGCCCGGCAGAGTGCGTGCTCGCACGCACGTGGGTGTCTCTGGCCAGTTGCTGTCAAGCAAAACCGCTCTGGATAGCTTGCCGGCTGCTTAGCCGGCCCGCCCGGCGGAGTTAGGTGCGCCCCGGCTCTACCAAACACGAGGTGTGTGTCGCCTGGGGGTGGAAATACAACCCGCTGGATCGCCAGCGTGCGGCACGCCCACGGGGAGGGTCCCTTGGACGCTGCCGCGCCGCTGCTGCACCGCCGCACGCGGCAGGAGACTCCTTTTGAGGTATGCACGGCCGAAGGGGGCGCTCTCAGATGCGAAAGGGGGTTTGGGGTGCGAACCGCGCAGCGGCCCTGAGGGAGCACGCTGCGCAGGACCAGAGGCGTCGGCAGAAAGGCTCTCCTTTGTAATTGGAAAGAGGTGGCGCAACAACGCCACATACCGCTATGGAGAAGAAAAGAACGTTCCTTCACTCAAGCATGCTTGGCCTTCAGGTCGCAGGAGCCGCGGCGTGCGTTGAGGAACGCTGCCCGAAGGCGCGCGTCCCACGCATACACGATCCCGCAGTGCAGGACCGCGGCCGCCAGCGCGCCGCCCAAAGCGCCCGCCCCGCCCTTGGACGACCCCTCGGGGTCGAGCAAGCCGGCCGCGGCGGCGGCGGTGGTGAGCAGCAAAGCGGAGGCTGAGAGCAGGAGCTGCCATTGGAGGCGCAGCTTGCAAGTCAGGGCGGACGGCAGCGTGCCCAGCAGCCACACAGCCCGCGCCGGCGCCGGCGCAGGCATGCTCGACCGCAGCAGCAACGCCAGAAGCTTGATTGCGAATTTCGTCGCCTCAACGACGCGGCCGCCTTGTACGCGCCAATGCGTTTGGCCGCAGCGCAGTAGCGGGTCCAGCAGGAGGAGAGAGAGCAGCGCCGTGGCGGGGCCCAGGATTGACAGGTAGCCCCACGGCAGCAGCTGTGCCGCCGCGACCGAGCCGGCGCCGACGGGGCCGCCGCACCGGCCGCTGCATGCGTGGTGGGCGAGGGCCGCCGTGGCGTTGAGCAGGGAGGGCAGCAGCATCACCTGCGGATGCAGCCATTGGAAACCGGGTAGGAGGAGGAGTGTAAGAGTTAGGTACTGGCACACCCCAGAGCTGAGTGTAGGGGCGACCCTCCTGTTCACCCAACAGCTCACGGGCGCGTGACCGCCATGTGCATTACATGCAGCCTTGGCTCTGCAACTGCAAGCCATACTTGCTGGAAGATCGAGACGGCGTCGCACCTTGTCGACGGTGACCATAGACTCGTCGTGCCACGCAGCAAATTCGCCCTCCAGGTCAGGGTCGGTGAAGCCGCAGCCCAGAACCCACGCCCTACAGCTGCACTTGGCGCCCCTTGCGTCGCACACGGCTGGCGGGGCGCCGGCTCCGCGGGCGGACACGCCGCAGCCGGCGGCTGTCGCAGCTGCTGTGACGCCGCAGTCGCAGCAGCCGTCGTCACAGCCAGGCAGCAGGAGCCGTGCGTCGATGGGTGCACCGCCGTCGGCCTCGGCTACCCCCAGCCGCTTTACCCACCGCCACCCACCGCCGACAGCGGCGCCGGGCCCGACGCGCGCGGCAGGGCCCAGCTCCAGCCACGTGCTCTCCGCGAGGGCGAGCGGCGCCCCGCAGTCCGCGAGGCCGCGCGCGGCGCGGACGGCGGGGCCGGCGGCGATGAACGCCATTCCCTCGGACCCGATGATGGCGGCCGAGGCGGCGCCGGTGCAGATCCCGAGGTGGAGGGCGGCGCGCTCGCCGTTTGGCAGGGTCACCTGTCCGGGCGTGCGTGAGGCAGGGAGCGGGCGCGGGCCGAAGTGTGTGGACGAGCGCTAAGCGTGGTGGGACGCGCGCCAGCAGGAAGCTGCTTGATACGCCAGGCCTTGGCGCCTGCTGCCGCAGCACCCAGTCCACAACTCGGCAGCGTTGCGCCGCCTGCCACCTGGCATACATGTGGCACCACCACGCGGGTGGACCCAAGCTGATTGCTGGCGGATGAGCCTCACCTCTCCAGCCGCAGCCATAAGGCGCAGCGCCAGGCTCAGCATCCCGTCCGCAACCCCGGCGCCGTGGTCGCGGGCGTGTGGCCACACGACACAGTAGTATGGCAGCTGGACATAGACAGGGGCCACGCGGGGGCGAGGAGGAGGATGTGGGTTGCGGAGGGTGCGACGCGTGGCCGGCCGCCGCAGACAGGCTCGCAGAAGTGCGCTGACCAGGTAGGTTTGAGACGCCCATGACCCCCTGTCAGCCGCTCTTGCGTGCGGCGACACAACCCCTTCTGGCCGCTCCTCCGTTTGCTCGCCCCAACCCAGAGCTTGCGGGGCGTGGGGCTGCGGTACAACTCACCGCGTACCGCGAGACCTTCCAAACCGAGGTACGGCGCTGCACGACCACTCCATCCAGCGCCGACATCACCCGGTGATACAGCCGCAGCTCGTCGGCGCCGCCAAGGGTGAGGGCGGCCCGCTGCAGGTTGGTGACGCGCGCGACGAGCACGGTGGCGCGCTCGCAGCCGTCGCGGCACCCCGGCTTCCTGGGGGCCCGCAGCGCCGGGACAGCCGCTGGGGCGGCGGCTGCGGTGGCGAGGGCGGCTGCGGCGGCGGCGGCGGCGGGCGCAGAGGTGGTGGCATGGCGGTGGCACCCCTCGCCGCCCTGGGCGGTAGGACAGTGGGGTACGGCGCCACTGTTGTGTCTGCAGGCGCCGCAGCAGGCGAGCGAGTAGCAGGAATCTGCGGTGGTGCAGCGCTCGGCGTCGTCCCAGATGTCACAATTGAATCTGCCGCTCGGGTGCAGCAGTCCGCCGCCGCCAGCGCCGCCCTCCTCTGTTGTCACCGGCGTCAATGGGCGAGCACACCCAGACCGTAGGTGCGCACTCGACCCCATGACGCTGAGCACGGCGGGGCTGGTCACGGGGCTGCTGGGTATGTAAGACCCTTTGCACTAGTAAGGATTCAATCGCCCCGCGTGGAGGAGCTGATTCGCCTAGATTTTGGGTCGAGGGCTGCGTGCCATGGCCACCCGCACTGAATCCTGTGCCGAAACCGACTCAATATCTTCTACGATTTCTCAGGTCTATAAGAAATTTGAGCACCGCCATGGGACATGCTGGACGGCCCTGATTCGGCCATGTGAACTGTCTCACTATGCCGAGAAGGGACGTGGTTCAAAGGCAAGGTGAGTAACAGAATTCGGCTTAGTATTTTGTAAATTGTAGGCACATGCACATGCGCTCGTGGCCCGAGCGGTTGTTGTGGCCGATGAGTAACTCCCGTCCGTTTGGTTCCAGCATTGGCGAACAAGAGATTATAAACACGCAAAGCTGTCTCAAGCGGCTGCAAGAAAGCTCATGAGTTGTGTCAATGGAGACGGGCGGAACTCTCGTCGATTGTGCGCAAAGGGCTGCGGCGCGCCTCGTTGCCGCTGCATGCACCGCGCCTCCGCCCTTAGACCCTCTCACCTGGGCGTATGTGTCGACCTTCACTGCTTTGGTGCTACCAGTCGGCTTGGCCACTGGCGTGCTGAGATTCAAGATTGAGCGTCGGCCCGCCAAGTGGCTGGAGGTGGACAGGCGTTCACACCATGACATCAGCCACGGCTTGCGCAGTTGGTTGCATGCAGCAATCATGGCCCCCCTTAGGACCAGATTATGAGCAATGCTCATTCGCATGATTGCGCCTGCAGGTGCTTGTGGTGGTGTTCCTGACAAGTGGCCTGGCCGAGGAGCTGGTTTTCAGGGTGATGGCGCTGCCGCACCCGGAGGTGGACGGCCCCACCAGCCCTGCCGACTTTGCAGCCAGGTGCGGGCGCCGCGGAAAGCCTGCAGCGGCCCCTCGCTCCTGCGGCTGAGCGCCATACCCGCAACTGTTGATGGCAACACCCGGACAGGCGGCCCGTATGCTGCGCACTGACGAGTCGTGTAGGACGAACTCACTGAAGCACTGCTCATGCAGCCGCACCGGTGCGCACCCAGGGCGGCTGCCTCCACGTTGGTGTTTGTGCTGGTGCACCTTGTCATTCCTGGAGAGAAGGCGCAGCGGACATACTGGAACCCAGGGTTTCTTGTCATGTGCGCCATGCTGGGCGCGGTGTGCAGGTGGGTGGCGCTTACTGCCGCGTACATCTTGCAATAGCCGCGGTGCAGCTGCGCCGCGTGTGTCAGGGAAGAGGTGCGCATTGTTGTTGTGGCGGGGCTCATGCAGAACAGGGGCTGCAAGGCCCGCGGTGCGCTTGCTGCAGCACGGAGCTTCGCGGCTGTCCGAGGCCGATGCGAGGTCCCTCTATGGTGACCGATCATGCGCACCTGGCTTGCGCTCACGTTCCTCCCCAGCGCGGTGTACTACATGACCGGAAGCCTCTGCACGCTGTGGTTGGTGCACGGCGTGCCGGTGGCTGTTTGGCTACTATTGCTGGGGGGGACGGACAAGGTTTAATCGGCACAAGATGCGCAGTTCCAGAGGGGATTTGTTAGTGGTGGGTTCTCATCGCGCACTGTGGGGCCGGCGGTGGGTCCGCAATATTTCAATCTCCTCGTGTTAATATGCTGCATTGCTGCACTGCTGGCCGCAGTCGAGTGAGCCGGCACCATGGCTGCCCCTTGCCCTGATCGATTGCAGTGTGCATCTGAATCAGTAATGTGGGCATTTGGGTCGCTTCGCTGATGGGTGCCTGACAAAGCACCGCGGCTGCCCATGATGTTCCACAAAGCACGCAGGCGTTCCTATGAGCACTGCCTCAGACATAGTACGCTTCGCTGTAACATTCCCGATCGTGACTTTGTTGCACACGATGATCTGATCGACGTACACAGTTCGAGTATACTCGGGTACCATATCTGTATGTAGCAGACAAAGTATGGTGCAAAAGAAGTGGAGGAAGGTGTTCTGGTCCGGTTCGACGCGCTCTCGGCGCGACACCAATCATGGGACCGTGCCAGATGTCGGCCACCAATGGGTCGTGAGCATCGTGGAGGATGATTCACATGAGGGGCGGACGGGCACGGACACCAGGCAGTGGCTGCCCGTGTGGCGGCGCTTCGCAACGGTGCGTGTGTTGCCGCGAGCACGGCTGCCAGCTTCGTCAGGAGCCGGCAAGCGCCCCACGCTGCAACCCCCACTTCATGGCTTACACACAGACATTGAGGCAGCAGCTTATACGTAAGTGGCGTTTCGGCCCCACTGCAACGTTGGTTATCACCACGCTGGGGTGGGTTTGGCCTAGCGTCTCTTGCTCTCTCTCCATCCCGCCTCCTGCCTGCTGCTGCCGCCGCCATCATCATCACTCGCAGGGCGTTGTGCCGGTCGTTCGTGCCCAGCCGTCGATCTGCGTCGTCCCGCTGCTCGTCATGCTCCTGATCGCCGCAGCCAGCAGCCTGGGGGTGGTGTTCGCGTCGAGGGCAGACGAGCACACCCGGCGGCTCGCGGCGCAAGGCAAGCGTCCCATGCTTGCCGCATGCGTCGGCCCTCCCGCGCTCTGGTTCGGCCTCTAGAGAGCGCTTCAAGCAGAACGCATGCATGTGCATGTGAGCGGCCGCCGGCACTTCTTGCATTGCATTGCTCACATGGCGGGCCATGCGGCCCCTTCCCCATCGCAGGTTTTGCCCAGGACACCGCCACGGGGTTTGAGTTCAAGCTGGCCAACAGCCTGGCCCCCGCTCTGGCGCTGTCCGTGCTTGTTGAGGACAACCCCTCAGTCCCCAACCTGCAGACGCGGTTCAACTCTGTGGCCAGACAGCTGCTGTCTTTGGGGCGGGTTGGCTGTGCGGGTGTCGCAGCAGCCACTGCGTGCCGCCGGCCGGTGTCTGCGCGATCCTTTGCGAGGCCAGGATTAGGGATGACCTCATCGCGTTGTGGTGGTAGCCAATCGTGCACGCGTGCACGTACACGTACACGTATGCATGCGGCACGCCCGCAGGTCAACGCGTCTGAGACGTCTGCGGGGATCTACCTGCGGATAGCGCCCTCCGCCATCATCAGCATGGCCTACCCTTTGGGCCGCAACAAGAACCTGCTGGGCCTTAACCTGCTCAAGGGTGGGTGTTGCTGCTGTTGCTGCTGCTGCTGCTGCTGCTGCTGCTGCTGCTGCTGCTGCTGCTGCTGCTGCTACTACTGCTGCTACTGCTGCTACTGCTGCTGGTGATGGTGGTGGTGGTGGTGGTGGTGGTGGTGGTGATGCAGCTCGTGATACTGGTTCTTGCTGCTGATACTGCTGCTGCAACTGATACTGACATTACTGTTGCGGCTGCCATGCCTGCTGTGGCTGCTGCTGCTGGGAGGCTTGTGCGACTGCCGAGGGCCAGGGCACAGCCAACTGCGCCCCCACGCATGCGCGCGCGGGCACGCTCAAATCTGCAGAGCCCTCTCGGCGAGCGGCGACCCTGGAGACGATCAGGCGGGGCGAGATCACGATCCAGGGTCCGATCAACCTGCAGCAGGAGGGGTTTGTTGGCCTGGCGATCCGGATACCCATATTCGTGGCCAATGTCAGCGACCCCAACGAGACGTTCGGGTGAGGGGCGGCGCCCACCGTGCCCAGCTGCGCTCGCGTCGGCACGCCCCTGTGTAGGAACTCGTCCACTTGGTTCGTGTAGGCGTGCCTCTCGCTCGTGTGTGTGAGCATACTTGTGCATGTCCAAGCGCAAGTTTCCTGCTTGTCTGCGCGCTGTTGGCGCTTACAGGAGGCCGTTTCAACATGCATGGGCGGGACAACATCGTGAACTTCCACCCCTTGCATTCCCTCGACACCGCCCTCCCTTCCCAATGCCCGCAACCCCTAGGGCGGCCGAGGGCCCCTACAACTGCAGCATCTGGTGAGGCGGCCGTGCGCATCCACAGACGCCGCCTCTTCCGCCGTTGCCCTCCCCCCAAAAAACACACACTCACCCGCTGCAGCGCCCAACGCCCTTGCCCGCGCCTGCATCCGCCCCGCGCGCAAGTCCCAGCCAACCTGCTTGACACCCACCCCAACCCTCAGCGCCTGCTCTGCTGGGCGCCGAGCACATGACGTACCGCCGCCCGACCGCCCGACCAACCAAACCAACCAGCTACGACCCGACCACCCGGTCGCGCTTTTGGGGCGTGGCCGGCACGGTGGTGGACTTTGAGCAGATAGCGGGGGGATCCGGCATAACGGACGGCGCCAGCACCAGCGGGCCCGATGCGGTGCGGGACCCCTACCACGGCCTGCTAGGGCGGCTGGAGCAGCAGGTGGGCGTTGGGGGCTGCGGCGACGCCGCGGAAGCTGCCCGGCAGCGGTCCCCTTGAGGAGGGTGTCAGGGATTGTGGGCTGCGAGTGTGCCTGACAGCTGCGGTGCTGGGTGTTGTGGCCGGGGCCAGGGGTCCCCGGGGACGTACACCGCCATTTTGTCGACCATCACGACATCTGGACGTCAGCCATCATTGGCCCTTTCCTGCATTGCCTTGATCAGGCCGCCGCCTATGTCCATGATCAGGCCAGGAACACCCCCAGCTCCCTGCCCTACGCCCTGCCATTGCCATCACATCCCATCGCCACAGCCGTGCTCCAGCCTGGCAGCCAGCTGCCGGCCCCTGCCGCTCGCCTTGCTGCCATCTCCCGGCCTCTGTACCTCATCCCTCCACCAACCCTCCTTACGCCCCGCACCCCTCCCCTGACCTCCTCCACCCCTTTCTCGGCCGTCTTCAGCCCCCAACCCCTGCGGCACCCCGGTAACCACCACCCACTGAGCACCCCTGCTGCCCCATAGTTTACCCCCCTCCTCCCTGCCGCCGCCCAACACCCCCAGGGCTACAGCTACGCGCTGACCGTCCCCCAGCCCGGCAACACGCCCGTGGTGGTCGCCAACACGCCCTCCGCCCTGCGCGACCCCGTGACCACCACCATCACGTCACCAACCAACGAGAAGTGGCTGCTGCAGCTGGAGCCCGCAGCGGGCTGGGCGCCGCCCTGGCGGGACGCGCTGCTGGCGATGGTCAACGCGATCAGCGCCGTCATAGGGGCGCTGCTGCTGTGCGTCTTTGTCAACAGGCGGCAGCAGAGCTGGCTGCTCGCGGAGTTGCGGGTGGGACGCAGGCTCTGCATGGCCTGGGCTTGAACCCTAGCGGGGCACCCTCTCCGTTGCGTTCGGACACGCCGAGTTGCTGACGCTTTGCTGCTTGTGCAGTTGATCACGTGGCGGGGGCCGCAGCACGTGTCGCCGTCACCGCATGACTGTTTCCTTGGTGTTGACGGCGCCTTGCTGCTCCTCTGCCGACCGGCCGGACGACCTGAGCGGCGCTCCTGCCGACCGCCCCCCTGCAGTCTAACAACAAGGAGTTGGTCACGGAGAAGCTGCGCACCGACGCCCTCCTGGCCCGGCAGTACCACCTGATCAACTGCCTGATGGAGCAGGGCGGGCGGCTGGCGCCCGCCAGGGGCAGCGGGGTCGCCGGCGGCGGCGGCGCGGGCGCCGGAGGGGACGGGGGCGGCGGTGGCGGCGGCAGTGGCGGAGGCGGCGGCGCGACAGATGGCGGGGGGGGAGTGAGGGCGGCGGCCGCGCGAGAGATGGGCGGCAGCGGAAAGGGTGGCGACCTCGATTCGGCGGGCACCGCGCTCGGTGGGTTGGCGGCAGCTGACCAGGGGGCTGTCGGGAGGGAGGTGCTTGCAGCTCCCCTCTGCGGCCGAGCGGGATTAGCTGCTGCTGTAGCGCCCAAGGCCCTCGTGCCGCCGTAAGCTCCTTGGCACGTGGCAGGTTGCCTACTTCTGTCCCCCTCCCCTCACCCTCGTGCTGGCCTCCCCTTTTTGCTGCCAACCCGCAAATCGAAGCCTCACAAGAAGCTCACGCAAACTCGCTGCCGTCCCAACCACCCAAAAGCCCCGCCCTCAGCATCCCTCACCCCTGCGCCCCGCCTCCTCAACCAACCCCCTCCCGCCGCAGAGCGCATAGAGGACATGAAGCGTGCCATCGGCAGTGCGGGCGGCGCGGCCGCGGCTTCCACTGGGGCTATACAGCTGCTGGAGCTGCTGGGGGAGGGTGCGCACTCAATTTCTTTTGGGGTGGGGGGGGGGCGCCTTGATGTAGGGGTGCAGGCAGTTGATGACAGGCGGGGTCGACACACGGTTTCGCCATGCGCCGTGCCGGCCATGGGGCGTCGGTGTCGGCATGGGGGCTCACAATGCAGGGGACCCAGGTGAAGGGTTCTTGGGAGGGATTTATTAGAGTGAGTGCCATATCAGATATGGCGGCAGCCCCGAGGCGCGTGCCTGCAGGGTTTTTTTGAGAGCTGACTTTGTCCATGTGCACCGCTGCACGACCTGGCCCTTGCTGCCCCTGTTTCATCAACCATCCAATCCTGTGTGTTGCATGGAACCTCTCCACCCCCAGGGGGCTTCGGCAAGGTCTACAAAGGTGGGTGGCATTCCGATGCCGCAGGCACCTGCTGCGTTGTGCCGGGCGGCGCAGGCCCTTGGAAAGACCGTCCGTCGAGCTCACAGCGCGGGGCGTGCTGCGCCGAAACGCCGCCCACACCTGCTTGAACTTGCGGCTGCGTGCCTTGGCACAACTGCCGGTTTCCGGCGGCTCGGTCGTAATCCCTAAATACCCCCACATGTTGCTACCTCAGCAACCTCCACCCCACACTGCCGCACTCCCGGCCTCCCTCACCTGCCCCCAAAGGCCTGTGGCACGGGGCCGTGGTGGCGGTCAAGACGATGCTGCTGCCCGCCCACATGAGCGGGGCCCAGAAGCGGGAGCGCATGGCCATCATGGAGGCGGCCATCAGCAGCGCCATGACGCACCCCAACATAGTGCAGGTGGTCTTGGGGGCCGCGTGCTGTGCCCTTGTGCTCGGTGGCAAACGTTTGTGGGGACGCTGGTTTGTGCCGCCATGCTGGTCGATCACATCAATGCCTGGGCGTACCTGCTCTCCTCTTGAGGCCGCCATCCAGTGTACCCCTCGGCCTTACTGGGGGACGGGACCTCACCACCCCGCTAGACAGACCGTCACGTCCCGCCCGTCCTCTGATCCCTCTCCCCGACCCTCCCAACCCCACCCTCAGACCTACACCTACACCATCAAGTCGATGGCGTCGAGCCACGGCCCCATCAGCAGCGAGTGAGCCGCCAGCCGCAAACAGCGCCACCCGCCCCCCTCCACCACAATCACCCCCACCCACGTACACACGCACCAACGCCCCATCCCCACACGGACACACGCACACGAGCACACACACACACACACACACACACACACACACACACACACACACACACACGCATGCACGCGCGCTCACACATGCTTTTGAATGCGGGGCTCCCTCTTTTTGTGGTCCCCTTGAGCCTTGACCAGCCCCCAAGCCATGACCTGGGATCCAGAGAGACTGGCTGCTACGTTGGCGCAGCAGCCAAGAGCGAGACGGGCACCTCACAACAGTGCCAGTGCACATAACTGGCCCCAAGTAATGACAGCTAGCCGCGTCTAGGCCCGTCGTCAAACCAGCCATGCGCCCCTGGCGACCTGCGCATAAACAGACAGAAAGCACGCGCGCTCACAAGGGCATGCACACATGCCCCCGCACCCCTCATCGTTGCAGCGTGAGCAAGCAGAGCCCGCCGTCTCAGACCCACTCGTCCTCAGATGAGGCTTTGGCAGCTGGGCCCCACGTCCTCAATTTTGAGGTGGGCAGCAGTCATCCGCAAGAGGCTATCAGCTGCATGGTTGGGGGCACGAGGCGTGTGTCATTGGGGGAGGGTGGCGGTTGACGACGGTGGCGGCCTGTCTGGCACCTGCTGCGCTCATTGCAGATGCGACAGCCAACAAGCAGGTCTGATTTCACATGATTTTGTATTATGATGTATCATCCGCAACCCCCAGGTGTCGCTGGTCCTTGAATTCTGCGAGCTGGGGTCACTGCGGGATGCGCTGGACGGCGGCGCATACTATACACGTCAGTCTTGGGGGCCTGCGGG